TGTCCACAGGCAGGCCTGCCGATTCCAGTTCAGCATACCGTCCACCCCAGAACTCATGTCTGGGACCAGTACGTTCAGAAGCATTGTTTCTCTACCTGCCACCTTAGCAGAACTTGCTAAACTCGGTCTCCTCCAGGAAACCCTTGCGTATACTGTTTGCCATTATTAACAGGCAGTCATATTTTGGGAGCAAATGTTTTTAAATATCTTTCCTTTGTGAGCATGTTTTATTTTCCTTTTGAAGAAATTTCTGTGAGTGATTCCACAGAAATTAGATTGTGGCTCTCACGACGCTCCTCTCTGTAGACCAATTGTAAGCGCCTAACCCATTGGTCAGTAGGCGGAGAGCACTAAACTAGGCCTCATTTTTCTTGAGACATTGTTTTTCCTTTATGTTAGGGAGTGGCAAGAAAAATGTTTCAAGAGGGAATCTCAGATGTCTCATGGGGAAGAGATATGTATCTTTATTCCTTCTGTGCTCCTTTCTCCTTCAACTCATTCATTCAAAAAATTCCCCAAATTAAGCTAACAATAAGGCCATGAGTTGTCTATAACTTATAATTTGGTTATGTGTAAAAATTAGAAAGCAATCATCTGGAATGGCCAGCTCTGTATAGTTCATGTAGTTTATCACTTTAAGAAGTTATTATGAATGAGATAAAATGCCTTGAAAACCTTTATCTAAGTTTTCCAATGAAGATAAGCTGCCCACAAATTTTATAAATGTTTGCTTTTTAAAAGAGATTTATATACCACATTTGACTAGAATTATGTCGTATGAAGACAAATAGAATTTGTTGACAAAAATTCTTCTGTGTTTTAGCTCAAATATAGTTACTGATACCATGTTGCTACATTAACTAGTGTTTTATTTAATAAGCCTTATGCATCTCTTAGCCCAAGATGCATGTAAACACTTCTAAGTGGGCGTCTGATCTTTAGAACTCTCTTAAAGTGCACAGTCTAGAAATAGAAGATTTTGCTGATTCCCCAGGGAACCCACACACCTCGAGCCCTGGGGCTGTCTGAAGGATGCGCATCAGCAAAGTGTCTTTGCCATCCTGTTCTTGCTACTGTTCAGTTTGGTCCCAGTGAGTGTCTTACACAGTTTGGATGAAAAGATCGCCCTGTGCAGCCAGTACAGCTGTGCTGGATACAGTCACCACCAGCGAAAAGTCAGACAGTCTGTCCTGTTCATGATCTCACCCTTCCTCTCCTTGAAACTTGTTTACTCAGGTCCTTTTACCATCTTTCAGCCATTTGTCAAGAAAGTTTTGCAGTGGATCTCCTTCCAAATGAAATAGAATTGCATTTTTGAACCCAAATAAACTGCTCCATAGCCTTGTTTATTTAATATCTGTGTAGTGCCAAAAATGCACACACTTTAAAATAAAAATAGAGACAGCATCTTCTTTATCGTCTAAACCTCAAAACATATGATTCCAATAGTACTATAAGAAAATAGCAGTTGTTACATGTTCATAAGAAAATAAACACATGCATTTTTACAAAAAGAAGTGTATTTAACTAAAATATTCCTATGGTTAAATCCATTTCTTAGGCTTTCTCTACAAGAAACAAGAACCTAAGAATTGCAGTGAAACCCCATTCTCGTTCCCAGTTGCTGCCACTTGTGTTGCCATGCTGTGTCATTCAGTGTCCCTGCAGTCTGAAACAAAGGGACGACTGGCGAAAAATACACTGTGGACCAGTGCAGACGGCCCGAGTCCACGCGTGTGTGTGGAAGATTTTGGGATAGTGCCAGCTTGTTCTTTGCCTTTTCAATAGATACCTAAACACACGTGGAGGTGTAAGGGCCACGGAGCTAATCGACAGGATTTCTGAGCTTCACTGCTCTTTCCAGCACTTGATCTTGCCCTCAGTCTAGAGAAAATAAATGCAACAACAAACGTTTGCTTTTGGGTTTTTAATAAAGAGGCCAAGATTCAGTCGGTGGTTCAGAACGTGGTAACTCTGCCTTTGTCTTTATTCAGCCAAAATTTATCGAAGCCCCTGTGGCCAGGTAGTGCGCTATACTAATGCTAAATATTACAAAAGAGGAAAGAAAAGACGGTGTTAGTATCATAAAACTCAATCTCATGCTGTTTCCTCTAATAGAAAGAATGTGCGTGTATATTCCTGGGTGACTGACGGTCTTGAGCACAGATTCCTTAGCACTGGCAACTTGAAATTCTTCTGGATTCATCTTAAAACTTCTCTCCTGGAAATAAGTCCGTGAAGGACGGATCTCGAGCACTCTAGGTGCTGGGAGTTAAGACCCGGAGAGGGATCGGGAGTTACCCAAAGCACTCACTGTTACAGCTTCTGGGTTGCTGTCCTGTTTAGCCCGTGACTTACCACAAAAAATATTATATGATAAGGAAACTGTCACATCTCCATCAGAAAACTCTGGACCCTCATCAGAGTTTTGCTAGCACGTGGCTGCGAGGAGGCTGTTCAGTTGCCTCGTCTGTATGAGGGGATAGCAACAGGGTCTACACCAAGGGCAGCGGGAGGATTAATGAATATGTGCAAAATCGAATTTCAGTTCTATGGCTTCGTTTTCATTATGCTACAGTAGGGAAAGAGGTCATTTACTTATTTTAATAACAAAGTGGCCCTGGCTGGCGTGGCTCAGTTGGTTGCGCGTCGCCCTGTGCACCAAAAGGTCGCCGGTTCAGTTCCCATCAGGGCAGGAGCCCGGTGCATACGGGAGGCAGCCAGTCGGTGTCTCTCTCTCTCTCTCTCTCTCTCCTGGTTCCTTCCTCTCTCAAATCAATAAAAACATTTTTTTACAAATGAGATTGACATATTTAACCCCGGTTCAGAGGGTCACTCCCAAATTTGAAAAATTATGGGATAAAAAGGGGAAATAAAGTTTTTAAATGACAAGCCTATTAGAATTATTGTTTATGAAAATTTTACTCAAGGCATAAGGTTTGCTCTAAAATCACCATGGCATTGACTTGTATAATATTGTTCAAGGGCCAAGGTAATTCTTGAGGAAATGCGGAGTTTCCCCGTTTAAGTGCATGTGGCGAAGCTGGCGGCCGGAGCTCCTTGCCCGCCTAAGCCTCTGGGGCGGGGCCGTGTTGACACGTGCCCTTTGGAACCCGTCCTGCGAGAAGCTGGGCGACGCCTTAGGACCAGGGCACGTGGGGGAGAGAGTCACAGTCATGTAATGTTAAGCAGGAGCAGCAAAGGCCTCAACACTTTCAACGGAACATCCAATCGAGGATTCTAGGAACTTCACAGAGCAGCACGCAGGACTCCAGTTTCGAAACGGTGAAGTCAGGCTGGTTCCCTCTTCTCTCAAAGATTAGAATCTGAAGCCACAGAAACCCGCCTTACACGGATAGCTAGAGGCCACCTGTAACTCGGAGTCGCAGGACATTGAAAGGAAGATGGGAATGACTCGGCCGGGAAGGCGCAGCCCAAGCTCCCGCCGAGGGGACAGCGGTGCAGAGCGAGTGCCGTTCACCGCGCAGGACGCCGCGAGGCTGCGCAGTGCGGGTGCCGGTCCCTGCAGAGGGCCTCCAGCCTGGCCCCGCGCACAGCCTGCGGAGACGGGGGCACTCTCTGGGGAAACGTTGGATTGAAGGTGAAGGCACTGGGGTGAAATAGGGGATTTAAACTAGGAAGTTTAGGTGCAAGGGAGTATACCAGTGACCACAGCACTGTTCCCGAAACACTGAACTTCCCCCAAGGAAGGGAGCCTCCACCTCACCCCACCCAAAAAAAGCCAGTAACCACCTATTAGCCTACAATTTAGTTGTGTAGCTCTCAGGTATTATTTGCAACAATTAATGCGCTGCTCCGCACTGGTGTCTATCAGCCCCTGAAACCTCACTGCTGAATGCAGCCGAGGGTGATGTCTCACTCACCTCCAGCCCAGTGTGGTCGGCGGCTCTCCTCTGCCTTGCGGCTGTGCCATCTGCAGCAGGTGGCCGCCGAGGCCCTCGTGGCAGAGACTCAGGTGGAAGAGCCCAGCACACAGGCTCTTCACCGTCTCATCCCGGAGGTGACACATGCCATTTGCAGCCCCGGTGTAGTGTTCAGAACCGTTCACATGGGAGATGTGTGGGAGCGCATGGAATATTGAGTGGCCACTAGCTTCTCGACAACACTGTGCAAACTTAGGTCCAGGTTCTTGTAAGACCCTTCACTTTCTTCTCATGCGCCAGCCATGGGGCTTATTTATTTCACTGAATAGTTATAATTCTTTTTAAATTTAAAATATCTGTTGCCCACCTACTAGGTGCTGGCCCCGTGAGAGCGCTGAGAATATAGCAATGCATATGATACAGTCTCCAGTCTCAGGGTTACTCTACCATTTAAGCTCTTAGTTTACACTGGCTTCAAAATAACTTCTAGATCATTTCCTCTTAGTGTTTATATTGGTAGGTGTAAATCGGTGACCAGCTAATGAAAAGACTGTGTGAGTAATTGATTTATATCATTAACAGTATCTTGTGTTCCTGTCTCAAATATTTAATTTCAGATATTTCTCCCAAGTCTTGAAAATGGCTCTTTTCCTTTTTAACTAAAATAATCATTGCGAACTGTTCTTTATAATGGCAACATGCGAGAATCTCTAACGTGCTTCATAGATAAGTAACTGCAAGCCCATCTTTTTCTTGGTATTACCTTGTGGTTTATTTCTGGTATTCACTGAAACAGATTTGCAAATTAATATCAATATGAAATGCTCCATAGAAAGTTTCATAGACTATCGGTTGAAAGCAATTGTCCAGGAAGAGTTTTCTTTTCTGAGTCAGTCTTGCAAATGAATCTCATATACTTTGTAAAAGGAAATCACTCTTCTGATTTAAATAGATATATTTACCCTAGAAATACTATTCTTTCTGTTCTTATTTGCTTCTCTAAATCTACAGCTTGAGCTGCTTATGCCAGTGGTACAACTGAATTTTCGTAGTTGGGTTCTGAGGGTATTAATAAACTTTTTATAATGTTTGGTTTCCGTCTGTTTTCTTTTCCAGAGTACTCGAGTGGCCTTGGACCATCTGGAGTCTGTGCCTGAGAAACTGAGCCTACTAGAAGGTTTCAGAGACTTCAGAGTGAGAAAGAGTTGGCTTGTTCCTTTCAGTATTTTTATCTGAGTGAGAACACTTGGCATCTCACTGATGTGCAAAGAAAATTGTAGGGAGAGAGGAAAGACTGAAAAACAGTGGGGACGCTTAACGGTCCATCTTATCAGAGTTTACGCATATTTGTGATGTCAGGGTTGAAAATAATGGAACTTATATATTAGCACAATATAGGGAAATAGAGAGAGACGTTCACTGTACTCCTAGAGGCTCATTTGGCCCTCTAAAGCTTTAATTATGATTTAGAAATGCTTAAGAATTAAAAGAGGTTATACATTATATTGACAATAGATAACATCATTGATAAACAATTTTAATTTATGAATTATCTCCTTTGAATTTCAAATTTCCAGAGTACTGTTTGTTTTAGAGAAGCAATAATGCATTGGTTATCACTATACTATGATATATGAATTAGAACTCACATAGAGTTTTAGATTTTATATCCCATGCCACTTATTGATAGAACTCTAACCATAAATCACTTTATTAACAATCCAGTTAATTTCCTTTATGGATTTAAAGTTCTTCACAGAGCCCTGCCTGGGTGGCTCAGTTGGTTGGAACATCGTCCTGGGCACCAGAAGGTTGTAGGTGTGATTCCTGGTCAGGGCACATACCTAGGTTGCGGGTTCGATCCCTGGTTGGGGCTCACATGGGAGGCAACCAGTTGATGTTTCTCTCTCACATTGATGTTTCTCTCTCTCTCTCCCTCCCCCTCCCTTCCTCTCTAAAACTAATAAAAACATATCCTCGGGTGCGCATTAAAAATAATAAGAAATAATAATAAAAAATAAAGTTCCTCACAGAGAGAGGCAAAGCAAGTAAACCCTGTCACCTAGTTCTGCCAGACGAGGCCCAGGCCGAGAGCGCCCCCACATGTCCTCGCAGGGATGCGGTGCAGCGGGCAGTGTTCGTGATCTGTGGTACCTCGGCCCTGTGTGGCCGAGGCTAACAATGGCGAGAGTTCTCTTGAAAAGCAATCGACCTCTTATTTCACGTTGGCTTTAAAATATAACATATTATATTTAAGTTCTTTTAAAATCTACTGTACTATTTGAGGATATAATGAGTAGGAAATACCATTCGATCATGCCATATTGATTCATTGCAGGCTCTCATATGATGAGGCTTTCAAGGTCTGCACTACCTAAGATCACCTCTCATTAAGCATGTTTTGGTATTTCAGTTACTCAGCATTTTGGGGTGGCATCCAGGGTTGAGCTGAGACATCCAGAAATCTAGACTATTGCAAACAAAACAAAACCCGGTGCTTCTAGATATTTTACTAAAGTTTTTATTCTTTTTTATGATTTTGTACATTTGCGGTCTAAATCCCTATCAAAGAATTATGAAACCAGTGTCCAAGAAGATGTGATTTTTACTCACTCTTATGTTACCCAGTGTGGATAGCAGGCAACATGTGCCACCCATATCCTTCCCACCTTTTTCTGTGGCTAACAGAAGTCCTCTATGGGAAAGGAGGGCAGATAAGACAAGGTGTTGGAAACAGGTGGCATTTGACAAGGTGTTGGAAACAGGTGGCATTTGTCACTGAGAAACAAACGCCTGCCTTATACCAGCATCAAAATACAAAGATTAATCTTAGTGACAGTTCGCTTTTTCCCCAGTGGTCTACTTTGAACAGAATATTCATTAGTACAATTTAAAAGTTCTGCTCTCTACTACTACCAGAGTTTTAAAATTATTTTTGTCATATAGGCTAGTGATTGTATACACGTCTAGCTCATATATACACACACACTCACACGTGAAGATGCTATATAGTGAAATGTGTAGGGAGAATACTTTTCAAAGTTTAGAATCCTACTCTCCAGTATTGGTCATTAAAAGGGAAACCTTTAGCTTTAAAATGGAAAGGAATCCATTAGCAAGGACTGTGTGCGGCTGTGTGGCGGGCAGTGGCCAAGTACTAAACACTACATATTCTGAAACCCTCAGGCATTATTTCCCCCATCGCACAGCTGAGGACACTGAAGCTTGGAGTGTGTGCATTAGTTGGAACTGGGGTCTAATTCTCTTTATTAACAGCAAGACCCATCTGCTTGCCCCACCGCCTCTAGCTTGAAACCCATTCTATATATACTGTAAACCCCTCTATATGATTAAAACGAGCTTGTAATCAATTTAGTGGAAACAACTAGACATAGCCTTCAATAAAAATGCATAAGCCTTCTGGTCATTAGAGATAGATTATTGCAGATTATAGTTCTCAAACTCCCAAACTTTTCTAAAAATCAGTGTGCTGTGGACAAGAGTCTGCAGACCTAGGTCCTGCACCACACAAATCACTTAACATCTCAGGGGACATTTTGTCATCCATAAAATGAGGAGCTTGCTCCTGTCACTAGCGGTCATCTTGATAACGCTGTAGTCTCTAAGTGTGAACAGGAGCTCATCCCGTTGAGTCTTGACTTCACTGTTCTTTAAGTGTGTCATGCTCTCTCGCCTGTTTTAACCCCATTTTGAAAGAAGCGGATGGCGCTGTACTCCCACGTTTACACACCACGCGTTTGTTGCGGTGAAAGGGAGTCGCCTTGGTTCGGAGCCCCGCCCGCCGCAAGTTGCCTGGCCTTGGGCGAGCCATTCTCGGCTGCCCGGGCGCTACAGCTTTTTTCACCTAAAAATGAGAGCTTTGGAATTTTAATTCTCCTTCTCGTTTGGGAGTGTTTGGGGAACTAAATCCCATAGATGTTTTTTCCCACACACGAGTGTTCTAGTTTCTCTCTAATCCATAATATTAGCGTCTAAGTCGCTGGCCACAGTGACTGCCGTGTTTTACCCTTTCCCCCCAAACCCGAGGTGAGGGAAAAGCAGAGGGGGCGACCCCAGCTGTGGAAATGTTTGCTTTTAGAATTTCTTTATTACCTGAATCTTTTTATGCTTTTGAGATCAGATGAGATATTCCTTTTTTAAAAAAATATGTCTTTATTGATTTCAGAGAGAGGAAGGGGGGGCGAGAGAGAGGAAGGGAGAGAGAAACATCAGTGATGAGAGAGTCATTGATCGGCTGCCTCCTGCAGGCCCCCACCTGGGGATCGAGCCCGCAACCCGGNGCTGCCTCCTGCAGGCCCCCACCTGGGGATCGAGCCTGCAACCCGGGCCTGGGCCCTGACCCGGAATCAAACCCCAATCTCCTGGATCCTAGGTCGATGCTCAACTGCTGAGCCACGCCAGATGTCCTTACATTTAAAAACTATGTGCCAGCCTGGCCGGGCGTGGCTCAGCGGTTGAGCATTGACCTAGGATCCAGGCTATCAGGGTTCAATTCCCGGTCAGGGCACATGCCCGGTTGAGGGCTCGATCAATGACTCTCTCATGTTTCTATCTCTCTCGCCCTCTCCCTTCCTCTCTCTGAAATCAATAAAGATATATTTTTAAAAAATAAAATAAATAAATAAATCAAAACTATGTGCTATAATAGTTACAAAGTAGAATGTTATTTAAGAACTGCTGAAGCAAATGGGCTCTAGCTTTAAAGGTAACTCTCTCGTTTTACCTATACTACAAGAGACAATACACACATCCAAAAGTGGCACGATGTTATTAACGACCATCTTCAGACCACTTATATTACTTGAAACTTTTTCCTTTTAACTAAACGGTGTCAGTTATTTCAGATTGGCACATGGACTAGCTGTAAAAAGAATGCAAATAACCAACGTGGGACCCTGGTTTTATTTTTACTGTGTCATTCGAAAGTGACGTCTTTCTTCTCTGTCCTTAGGGACATATGATTCCCCTAAGCATCTCTTTAAACTTTTATAATTATGATACAATTACATAACTCATGTAATTATGTTTTCTACATGTCAGTACTTGCTTATTCTGATTTCAAGTACTGATTTTCCTTTTGTCCACCAATTTAGACGTTTTGTCGTTTTTCCAGGATTCCCACAGTTCATCCAAGAGAATCGATGGGATATACTCCAGACACAGGGTTCCCCGGGAGTCTTTCCAGCAGCGCCGAGACGACCCCAAGTACAGAATCAGAAGCTTCAAAGTAATGTCCTTTATTTACACTTTCGGTCTTTGAGCCTTTCCCATGTCTGTGGCTACAGCTTTCTCAGCAGCTCCTGCAGGACTCGTGTAAGAGCACTTGTGAAAGAGGAGATATCCTTCGATGCATGAAATAGGTGTTTAATTTTGTAGGGGCAGAGAATAAAAAAATAGCGCCTATAATGTTACTTGGGAACTAATCTTCACGGATATGCTACTGTTGCTTAATGTGTTGTTTGTCCATCAGAGTTGATGTTGCTTGAGAAATCCTGAGCCAGGAAACCCTGGCCTCTTGGTTGGTTAAAGGCTAAGTGTGGGTGTTGGTTGCTACTCTCAGAGCTGAAGTCCCCAGTAGGTAAAGTAACATATAGAGAACTTTGTGAACTGTAATCTTGGCCTTTACAGTCATCAGCATTCTTTCCCTGAGGATATGAACTCGCTGCTACTACTGAAGCTTCTGGTTCATTAAGGCGGAACCAACATAGGGCACTGGAAAGATTTGATCATATTGACCAAAGGTCCACCATTCTTTAGATTCTCCTCAGGATCTACCTGGGCTGTGGGTGATTTCAAACCCACTGGACTCTTGGCAGGTATTAGCTAGAGCAGGCTTCTCAACTTTGGTATTGTTACCACTTGGGTCCGATAACTCCTTACTGTAGAGGCTGCCCCATGCATTGTACGGTATTTAGCAGCATCCCTAATGTCTGCTTGCTAGATGCCATTAGCATCTCCCATCCCAAGCTGCAGCATCCAGAAATGTCTCCAAACACTGCCAGCTGTCCCTTGAGGTCAAAACTGACCCCCATTGAGAACACTGACCTGGAGGGAATCCATCTGTATTCTAATGTGCACTCCAAGTCAATTTAGGGGGAAAAAAAAAATCTAAAGGCTCCTCAGGCATTTTTATAGTTTTATAAACTGTGGTATGTATGAATATTCATCGCACTGTATATATTTACTTATGGGCAGATGCGACCTCCGACTGTAACTGGCCAGAGCACTCCGTGGGTGTAAAGACACTGTTCCTTTCTGTGGTCCTCCCTAGCGTGCTAAAATGAGCACTCCACTGCCCCACCTCCAGAAACGTAACGCTGTCATGCCGTATTATTGATACCTTATTGGGAAGAGGGAATCCTGTGACTTCCCACCATTTACCTTTGTTTTTGTAAGCTGGTGTTAGGGGCTGTCGTAGGGACCTTGTTTCATATAGCAAATTTGAAGATCACTAAATCATCTCCCAGCAATCCCATCAGGCTCATACGCTCAAGCAGGGGTGCTGCCAGCCTTAAACAGAAATACAAGGTTTAGACAATAATAGCTAATAATAATAACTACTCATTATTGAGCCAGTCACCTGAAATTGCTCTTTTTGTAGGTGTCCCACACTTTATATGCATTATTTCATTTAATTTTCACAGCAGCCCTGCCGGGTTGGCACCATGTTTTTTTTTTTCTCTTTTACCATTGAAGACAGCAAGGTTTTAGAGCAATTAAATGGTTGAATCAGAATTTAAACCCAAATCTGCCTGGCTTACATTTGCAGCTGAAGAGGAAATCAGGCCTGGTTTGTGAGGCCAACACTTAGCCAAATGAGGAAGAAGTTTTGCAGATAGGTAGTACGAGTCCAGGAAGGGCCAGAGAGCACATTATATGGTGACTTGTTCTACATCAGCACTACTTAAACATTGCAAAACATTGATTAATTTCAGTGACAAATGTGTAGACTCTCACCATATGTAACACATGTTTGGCCTGAAGTAGTGAGGTAATCTAAGAAAACTCATGCAAATGTCACATTTTTTTGTAGCCATTAGAGATGGAACTGTGGGAGAACATTCTTGCCAGTTGTAGATACCAGTGATCATTTGCTCATATGCTTTTTATGAAAATCATTTATTTAAAAAGACTGAGAGGAGAGGCAGTTTCAAAAGAAGCATGAGCTCGTATGGGCTATGAGAAAGTTGTTAATTATTTCTGGGCTTCATAAATAATCAGAGAAGCTACCTCTAATGAGTCACTGACATCTTGAAGAAAACGCTTCATGTAAGAGGCATTGGGACTCTTTCTATCAAGAGAGTATGTGCCCCACTCTCATAAGACATTATTTCAGCAGCTATTAACTTCCTCTGTGTTTTGCTAGGACAGAGTTCAAAGAAAAGGGCACGTTGCAGGGACTGAATTTGTTGGTTCTACTGAAAACTGGTTCTAGAAAATTAGTTACTGAAGGATTTAGTTGATTTCAACAAACATACTGTGCAGCTACCATATTGCAAAGTGCTGTGCTACTTGTTCCAGGTGGTGATGCAGGATGTATAAAGAGGCAGGAGGCACAGTCTTACAGGAGGGAATGACTGTCAATTTGCCTTCATCCTTACAGATTAGAGCAGGAGTCAGCAAACTTAGCCAAATCTTGGCCTGCTGACTGCTTTTGTAAATAAAGTTTTATTGAAATACAGTCACACCCACTTATTCACATATTGTCTCTGGCTACTTTCACATTCAACAGTAGAGTGGAGTAGTTGCAACAGAAACTGCATGGCTCAAAAAGTCTAATATATTTACCCTCTGGCCCTCTATAGAAAGTTTGCCAACTCCTTGTCTAAGAAAGGAGAAATTACCAATTTGGTCTTTCTTCCTTTGCACATATATAAAATATTTCCTTTTCTTTATTTACCAATCAAATAAATACTGCTCAAGCTCTTTGGAAAATCATAATATTTATCTGTTTATTCAACGGATATTCATTGAGTGTCAGCTGTGTGCCAGGAACTTACTAGATGCATGGAACTCATGTCATTAAACAAAATAAACAAAGATCTCTGCCTCCTTGGAGCTTCCATTCTAATTGTAAAATATTCATGTTTGTTGTTATTGTTTTAAATACAAAATTCAACAAACATTTATTGAGTTTCTACTGTGTATAGGCACTCTACTAGGGCTAAAGAGAATGGTATAATAAGAAAAATCATTACCAATCCATAGGAATCCAAAGCCTCCACACAAACAACTGTTGTGCAAAGGAGGAAGGGATGAATGCTATTCCAGAGACCTCAGTAGACTGCAGTAGGAGTCCAAGGTCTTTTGAAAAAGGTTTGTGATGACAAAGTACAAGCAAGTGTTCTATCCCCATCTCATCTCTTTGGAGAGAGCAGCTAGCAGCATTACAGTTGTACAGCTTTGACCATATTGCTGTTGACAGACCAATAACTGTTGGAATAGGAGAACCGTGTTGGCAGCTGGCTTCTCATGTCATTGTTGTTACAGGAAGGCAGTGAGACGTCCACTGTGACCACACTGCTGGTGGAGGGAAGGGTTAGCAGGAAATACGTCAGGCTCTCTTTCAAGCCAGGCTAGAGCCATCTCCTGCGATTTGCTCTCATGGCAATCACCGGAACAAAAACAATCCAGATTTCTAGAAATCCACTGAGATTTTCAGCAGGACCAACATCCACAGTTGCTGAAAGCATAATGTCACATTGTACCAAGCAGACCAAGTAACTGGACAAAGTCTGATCTAAAAGTTTATATTTAGAATTTAATCAAAGCTGAATCTGACACATTTTCTCTGTCTTTGTGGAGACAACAGAAGCATTTCATGGCCTCTCTTTCATCGGGCCTAACTGGGTTTCTGTCAGACACGCTTCCTTGCTGCCCCAGCTGTTTCAAATAGAACCGAATGTCCAAAAGTCAGCCAACAGCATAGCACTGCGAATCCGAACTCACGGAGGAGCATGGTTTTCTTCAAGAAATCCCCTTCTGCTACCTGCATTCTTTGCTCTCTACCCATACTAAATATATGGTTTCAATTAGCAGTGGGTTTTTCAGTAAAATCACAGAAGGCAGGCTTTGTTCCCATCCCTCCTCCTCCTGAAAGGAAACTCTCGATTTCCAATTGTTAGTTGAAGAGTTGGTGTGGAACTTCTTTTTAAGGAAGCAGATGTTTTATGGGATAAGAGGAGCTGGGTGAGGAAGTGCTGATAATGGCTTTCAGCAGTTTATGAGAGCAGAGTTGGCCGAAGCCCTTTGTCATATTTGCTCGGCACAGGCGCGTCTATGGTATTCAGCTGGGCTCTGCTCCTGGAGCCCTTTCTCCCTCCTCCAGTCTCTTCCTGATTTGTTTATACTTTGCTCATAGCAATGAATGGCTCTTAGACTTTCTTTCTTAGGTCAGCTATTTCTGGCATACCTTGAATCTTTTACAATAGTAGCTTCTAAAGAATACTATGTGTAACTCCAGGTGCAAATCAAGATTCTAGGTGGTGTTTATTTAATGACTATTAAAATATATCACTAGTATATTATTCAGGTAATTTATAAAAATTGCTCAGGAATAATAGTGGCAGCCATGGGGGGATTTAAGGGGGAGTTGACCACACAATACCCGACTATCTCATTTATAACCACCTCTCTTCATGCTTTGATAAGAAATCATATATAAACTGCTCTGCAGATATGGCTCTATGCATCCCCCAACCTCAACCAACTTGCCATCCATTAAGCCTGTCTTACAGAGACGTAGGGTGCAGGGCTAATTAATCTATAGGTTAACATGGAAGAAAATAGTAAGTGTAACTACAGGTAATACTGAAATTTGGGAAATGCTGTTCTACTAGATTGTATGACTTTCAAGGGTAGACACTGCCTGCCTCATCTTTGACTCCAGAGTACACAGAAAACACGCGCATGTGAAATTGGGGGACAAACATGTTTTTCTCGCTTCAGCCTTTCTAGAATTCTAACAGATATTTAATTTCACACATATGAAACCTGGCAGGCAGTGAAATCATGCTGAAACCTGAAGAGATTTTGATTCTTTGAAGTGACCAAGGCTAGCTTGCCAGCCATAATATTTAACGAGTTGATTTCATTTTGCTCTTTTAAAAGTTAAACAGAAGGTTGCCAAGTGAGTTGGGATTTTTCTTTATTGTAAAATCTGAAAATAGCAATGGATCACAAGTGCTTATTTAGGAATCGATACGGGTTCTTAGATGAGCATATTAA